GTTGCATCGCGGGTCTGCCTATCCCCGCGGCGCTCCCCACAAAAGAAAAGGGCAGCTGCAAGCAGCTCCCATGTCGTTAGCAAGAGCTTATTTTCGCGTCGTTTTCTTGAGCTTGTAGAAAACGGCCAAACGAGACGCGAGCGCAAAGGCGGGCGAGTCATGCGCGATGCGAATAAGGGAGACGTCGGGGGAACCTGGCTGGCGCACCTCAGGTTGCACTGTTAAAGAGGAAGTGGCAAAGCCGCGCCGTCAACGCCCTTAGCAGAGGAGGGAAATAGTCCCTTTATAAAAGCCTTTTAAAAAGTCACATGGTAAATACACGGTAGTATAAAAAAAATAAAACGTGGGTACAGAACAACATTAAGTCTTACAATACTCGCTGCTCTCACTGCCCCGGGCGCAGGACGGGCTGCACGGTGACGCGGACGCGCGTCTTGGCGAAGCGCGAGTGGCTGGTTAGGCGGCGCGCCCGGCCCAGGTCCACGCGCCACGCGCGCCCGCCCCGCAGCGCGTGCTCGGGGTCCTCGTCCACGCCCAGGACGCGCGCCCAGGTCCACGTCGACGCCTCCAGGATGCCCGGGCCGCCGCCGCCACCGCCACCGCCGCCGCCGCTCTCCGAGGACACACTGTGCCGCAGGCGAGCCTGGCGACGGAGATCAGGTGACGACCGTGTAACGGTCAGGTGACGACCGAGTGACGGTTATGGCCGTGTGACAGGTGACGGCCGTACTGTGGGGTAGGCCGAAGGTGCGTGGTGTGCGCATGGTCTGCTTTTATCGAGGGTCGGTATCGGGTAGGCTTTGGTACGACAGGGGTCGACACACGAGGGGGAAAAGAGAAGCCGCCCAAGAGGCCAAGCAGTGCGTGATGAAAGACAGAGAAGGGGGAGACGCTGAATGGGATTGGGCCGGCGAGGGGCGCAGCAGAGTATGTAAGAAGCGCGGGCGCGGGGCGGGCGCGGGGAGTAAGAAGGGCGGCGTTCGGATTTCCCTGATCCCATAATTGGACTATAACGGGCTGCTGCCGACGGGGGAAGAAAAGGGAGAAGAAAAGAAGAGGAGCTGCGGTGCCGGCAAAGAGCGGGGCGCGTTGGCCCGGGCCGAGGCGGAGGGGCCGTGCGGCAGGACTTGGCGACGCCACCCCACCCAGCCCCGCGTGCAAAGCCGTCCAACTGCCGCGGCAGCGCCCTGGCCCGGGGTTAAGCACCTCGCCAGCCGGCCCGGCCCGGCCCGGGAGGGAGGGGAAGGACAACAGCTGTTCGCCCGGGCGTTGTCGCCTTGGGGCTGCTCGAGGTTCCCACCACGCGGACCCCCCCGCTCGCGCACACCTGGAAGTAGTTGATGCGCTCCTGGATGTCGGCCACCCTCTGCATCGCGTCCCGGTGCTGGTACAGCTGGTGGTGCGCGCGCCCGCCGCGCCCCGGCCGCTCGTCCAGCTCCATGCGGTACTCGATGTCGCGCGCCTGCGCCGCCGACCCGAACAGCTGCACGCACCCGGACAGCGTGCTGCCAGGCGCCGGGGCGGTGTCAGCGAAAGTGTAACGCGAAGGAACCCAAACCCCAACCCGAGGGGCACTTCACGAGTTATTCAAGGGCACACCGATGTTTCTACTTTTTCTTGATTTCCCTGTTTAGCCTCCATTTTTAAAAAATCTTTTTGATAAAAATTCGTTTTGTGTTTTCTATTGATATTTTATCAAGTTTTCCTTGATTTTTTTTCTGATTTTGTTCTAATTTTCTTTTAAGGGTAGACGTTCATTTTTTTGAGTGAAGTACCCCTCGCGCTCCAACCCACCCTGCGTCCACGAGGAAGTGAACGAAGAAGACGTGCGTGGCGTGGTCGAGCAGGCGGCAGTGGCGCATGGCCGAGCCCCACACGGGCACGCGCATGGTGACGGGCGCGCCCGCGCGGCCCGCCTTGCTCAGCGCGGCGTGCGCTGCGCGGGCGTGCGCTCGCAGCTGGGCGTCCACGCCGCGCCAGGAGCACCGCGGCACGCGGCACGCCGAGTCGCGGTGCGCGCACGCGGCCAGCTCGTGCTGGTCCAGCTCGCCCGGCGGCAGCGTCACGGCGCAGCCGCGCGCGTGGAAGCGGCACGGGTACTGCAGCTTGGCGCACACCTGCGCACAGAGGGGTCAGCTGGCTGCGGCCGGGCGGAGCACCACCACCTGGGACGGCACCCCCGTATACCTTCTCCATGGTGCAGTTCCTGGAGCGGCGCGCTGTGCACCTGCAGGTGGGGCATCGCTTGAGGCGGGGCGCACAGTCCTTGCACACCATATGGCCCCGGGAGCACTGCCAGATGGGCGGTCGCATCGGCTCGTAGCAGACGGGGCACTCGAGGATCTCCAGCAGCGAGCCGACGAGCCCGAGTGGCTGTTCGGCAGGAGGCGCCGTCGGGCCCGCGGCGGACGGTGGCGAGCTGCTGGGCAGAGGGATGTCCGACACGCGCGTTGGTTCCGGAGGGACTGCAACCGTGGAAGTTACAGTTGCGTTTTCCTCTTCGTTCTCCTCGTCTTCCTCCTCTTCCTCTTCCTGGTCACCATCCTCCCCGTCTTCTTCGTCCTCCGCTTCCTCCGTCTCCATAGTGTCCGTCTCCAGTGCTCCACCCGGAGTCGACTCTTCCTCTACTTCATTTTCGTTCTCTTCCTCCTCATTATCCCCATCTTCATCTTCCTCTCCGTCCTCTTCCTCCTCGTCTTCCCCTACCGCCTCCTCATCGTCGTCGCTTGCCGCCGCAGCGCCCTCTTCGTCCACCTGCTCATCTTCGTCACCCGCCTCCTCGTCTTCTTCCTCCTGCGCCGTGCCCGGGGCCGTCTCGTCCGTCTCCGCGTCGTCCTCCACCTCGAACACCATGTCCACGGACTCGTCGCTGGAGGTCAGTCTGTACCGCGTGTTCTCTTCGTCTTCGTCTTCCTCCTCGCCCTCATAGTCCTCGTCCGGGAGCGCCTCGTCCTCCATCCCGTCGTCCTCGTCGGCGGCGGGGCCACCGCGGGCGCTGCGCTGGAAGCCATCCCTGCCGAGCGAGGCCAGCGGCTGACTGGAAGCCGTCGAGATGACGAGCGGGTTGTGCCTGCGGCGGGCGAAGCCACAAGACAGAGCCTTTAACAAACTCGTTTGTGTGAGGAGAAGGCAAAGCAAGTCTTGGTCTTGTCTACCATCTGGGGAACGCGGGCAGGGTGAGCGGGCGCGCCAGGTGGCCGCAGCTCCGGTAGTTCGTCAGGTGGGCGAGGACCGGCGACCTGGATCGGGCGCGGCCTAAGGAGTGCCTGGCGCTTCCAACGCCACCGTGCGAACGGCCAGCCTGCGAGCGCCCCTGGGTCAAGAGAGGGGCCACGTCCAGTGCCGCTGAGGAAGCCCCACGGAGCTCCCCGGTGACCGGGTTCACTTACCGCCCTCGTCGTCGCAATCACCGACGTGAGCCTCCAGGGACGCGGTGCGGACCGTCCGACCCTGCCCCCGGAGGGCATGCTGAACCCCCTGAAGCCGGAGAGCGCGAGGACGAAGCGACCGGAGCCCGGGCCTGGGCCACGCGCCAGAGACGGCGGCGTCCTCACCAGCCGGCTGTTCTGCGCCTCGTCGTCGTCGTCGTCCTCGTCTGAGGACAGCACTCTGGTCAGTCGCAGGTGCCTGTCCTCGACGGCGTCCTCGGAGGAGTTCTCGCCGTCGCCGTCAGACGAGGCCATGGCGGCGCTACGGGGCGGCGGGCGTCGCCTGAACCATGCGAGATGCGGGTCAGCGCGGAGAGGAGGGTGACCGCGACCGGCCGACGCGGTCCCTCACAGCGGCCGCACCTGAGGGGGTCTAAGGGGTGGGCCGGGGGCGGCGCGGCGGGGGCGGCCGGCTTGGGCGCACCATGTGGTGATGTAAGTCCTGAGGGTCCCTAGGGGTGCGGCGCGGAAACGAGTTATACGCAGCCTATTGTTGCCATGACGCGGGCCTGTGGAATATTGTTACCAGCGGGCCGTTAGTTAGGGAGGACGCGACAGAGGGGAAGCGGATGTCCCGCAAGCTGCATGACAGAACTCTGCTGCTGTGCGAGAGGAAGCGGCCAGGCCAGCTATGGCAGAAGAGAAGACAGCAGCTTGAGAGGGCGAGAGAGAGAGATGAAGGGAAAGAGAGACAGACAGAGAGCCGCAGCGGCAGAGCGAATTGAATCGAGTTTGGTTTATTAGAGGTTACATGCGCGGGCCGGGCCGGCTGCCCGCCACCACGGCGGCGCGGGCCCCTTTCAAACTCGCTACTGTACTCCGCATAATGAAATTCAAGCTGCAAACTCAATGGCGCCACGCACATGCGCCACCTAATTGGCGAGAGTGGCGCGACGAAATGCATACGCCGCTGATGAGGGGAAAAGGAATTGGTGCTCGAGTGTTGTTATTGCTGCCGTTACTTTTGCATTCACTAGATAGCTCGGCCATACAGAAAAGTGGCCCCGTTCTTCCCCCATCCCCCGCACGCCTGGCGCCTGCGCGTTATTCTGACTTTGGACATTTCTGCGACTCCCGTTTGGAAGTTGTGCGTGTGTTTGTGTGTGCTGTGTATGTGTGCGTGTGTGTGAGAGAGAAAGCATTAGCGTTACACCCACTACGACGGTATAGGACACGGGGGAATTCAGCCATGGCCGCAAACGCAACAGACCTTTCTTGCCTGTTCCAAGCACCGGGCTGGGGCTGGGCCGAGGCCGGTTATCCCGCCCACACGAAGTTTGCCCCACTAATAGTAAAGCCACCTGCATAGTATCTTGACCAGGGCGCAGAGCGACTTGTAATAGAGGAACCCATAAACGGAAAGGGAGAGAGAGAGGGGGGGAGAGGGAGAATGGAGGGCGAGGGAGAAAGAGGGGTGCGGACGAGTTCGGATCCCCTTGCTGGCCGCCCTCCCCTACCCCTTCCCTCTGGCGAGCTCCGGCCCAGCAGCCCGGCCGCCGGCCCGGGTAGCTTGTTGTTAACGACTCGGGGCATTTAGATACGTGTTACAGAGGGAGGCTAAAGTTTCTCCAAGGTAAGGAGGGGGGAGGGCGCCGGCGTGGGGCCACAGAGCTGCTCCATACCGTATACTCGATAACTTTCCTGGTAAACACTGCGGCGCGATTATATTGATCATGCGTAAGAGGATTCCTTATTGTTATGTGCCATCATCATCACCATCGTCCTCAACGACTCATTCAAAACTAAAGAGCAGACTAAAAGGCAGGTTTTAACATCAAAATTTATCTGACACAATCGGAACTGTAAGTTACTACGTTATGTACTATGTTATGAAATGGATCGAGGTTCGCAGCCCAGGTTTTGCAGGGATTCGTTGACCGAAGATCTATTAATATCGATTTTGCCAATTAATTCGTCTCGGTTGACGTAAATGCGGGCATAGCTCAACAGCCGTCGCAGCAGGTGGCAACGTGTAACAAGTGTTTCGTGAGATGCCAGAGAAGCAAAGGCATGTTTCGCGAGACTGGCAAGACGTGTTCAGGCGTCAGTCTAGTCAGTTATGGCCAGCATTGGCCACTTATACAGTTTGCAATATTGATAGGTTGGCTGCCTCCACGGTGACCTCATAGCCCCGATCATCGAGGTCGAGCCGAGACTACGCGTATTCAGGTCGAGCAGGATCACCGAGAAGGGAAGACAAGTGAACAGAACAGAGAGAAGGAAAGGGAGAGAGGGAGAGAAGAGTAGGGGGCGGGGAATGTCGGAACAGAGAAAATATGGCGCAGCTATTATTCCTGCCAGGATAGAAGGAAGGCGATCATCGGAAGCGAGCCACGCAAGAGGGCAGCAGCGGGAGCACGACGAAGACGGCGTAAAAATTTCTTTGCCTCGGTAGGCTAATATCCGGCAGAGGGGAGGAGTGTGACCCCGCAAAGAGGGAAAAGGGGGGGCGAAGGAGACAACACCGGCTGTATGAGTGTGTGTGCGTCTGGGAAGGGGGGAGGGGGTGGGTAGCGGGCAAGCGGGGAAGGAGGGGATGCTGCTGTAGGTGCCCTGCTCAGAGACTCGTGGCCAAAAGGATCCGACGGAGCATACTTATCAATCAAGGCGAAAGCATCCCGAAGCCTTGAGCCACAACCCACGCCCCGCCCCCAACCCCCTTGAAGCTTACTCTTACTCCCACTATCTCTCTCCCTCTTCAAATAGACGGGTGGTGGTCTTACCTTCCTCCAGACCCACACTTCCTCGCCCCAAATCTTTCACCCCTTTCATTTCACTCCCCCCTTCCTCCTCCCGCCTGAAACGTGCCCTCTGCCTTCCTCCTCATCGCAGACACAACTATGGTGTACGGTGCGCCACGCCAGCGCCGCGTCGACTCACCTCGGAGGCAGTGCACCAGAATGAACGTTGTGTGCACGAAAAACTTCTTTTCCAATTCCCCTTTTGACAAAAGAGGATTTTGTTTTGTGGGGAGGATAAAAATATAAGAGGGTGAGGGTGAGGAGAGTAGGGGGGGGGGGGGGCATATGTATTGAACCAGAAGAGACATCACCAATCCGTCCCCCGCGATGCAGCTTCTGTGGCAGTCGGTGGCAGTTCTCTCCCTCCGACCGTCATCACCACGCTGCCGGGGCGGCATGGATATTGGAGCGAAGAGAAGGGGGAGGGGGGGAAGCCGGAACTTTTTTACAACTGGTTGGGCGACAGACCCCCCCCCCCCCTCCCCACATTCCTCGGCCCTGGCGATAATGAAAACGCCATGCGGCACATTGCTCGCGCCGCTACACTTTAGAAAATATAATTGCAGACGAAAATGGTCGACCCGGGTCGTAAGCAGCTCTGAGGTGCCTCGAGGACATCTTGCGAAATATTTGAACTCACCATCATGCTCTCACGGTCTGGGGAACACGCGCCACCCACCTGAAACCGAAACGGCAGTAATGTGAGCAATGAAAAAGTGTTGTGATGATTTACGGATACACATT